GCCCTTCTTATGCTTCGGATGAGTTTTAAGCGTGGGCCACGAGTGCAATGCTACCCTCGTGCCCGACAAGAACACCTGGTTTTGCCAAGCTTTTGACATTTCTGCGTTTGCTTGGTTTTAGGAAGTGAAAATATCACGAAACACACAATACTTTTGTGTCAAGTCCAGTCGGAGGAAGTCGCCCTCCTCTCATTTGTTCTTCTCACACGCAATCGGCCTCCAATGTAGACACCGCTGCATGAGTTGCCGAGCTTCCTCCATTACGCTTCCCATTTTCGATCTCTTCCTGGCACTGCATACTATTCGTCTATACAAAGTGGTGGTCCAGTTGAACATTTCCGACCCCATAAAATCTTGAAGTTCATGGTGGAATGATGCACCTATGCACCCGCAACGCATAGACGAGTCTCGCGACTGCTGTGCGCTGCTCACAAAATAACAACCACTGAAAGCCTACTCTTCGAACCACAAGGTGGCTGCCCACTTCACACAAGCCACATTAACATCGAACATCCGTGCTCACTGCTTCCCTAGCCACTACCACGCAGCCGCCTACGCCTCATTGACCACTCTCACTTGCACACCCACTGCTCTACTTCTTTCTACTTCCACGCCTTCCAGCTCTCCCCATTCACATTTCAATCACCGCCAACACCCGCATTGTCGGAGAATGGAGCAACGCTGTATCCGGTTTCATCCCCTCCCCTTCTTCTTCTCCTCCTCCTCCTCTTTCCCTTTTTTCTACCTTTGCTTTCCCTCTCCACCTCATCCTACCACCACTCGCACATGCTTCAACCACACTCGTGCACTTTCCATAGGCGATTAAAGCGTTCAATGATGTCCGCGTCGACGACTATTACAATTCCTAACTGCCACCCACTTTCTTTCTGTTTCATGTTTATTTCATTTTTGCTTGCATGCCTTCTTGCTTGGTGATGATTGTGTTTGTTCTCGAAGCGGTAAATATGGCCGTGATTTTGCACCTTTTTTTCTATACTAATTGTCTTTATATTAGCCTACTGGGTGGACGTAGGGTGCCTTGGTATTCATCTTCCTATGTGCTGGGTGCACTGGCTTGTGTGTCAAGGCAAGTTCCAACGTCTTCCTTTTGTCCTTCATTGTCTATTTTTATGCCTTTGTAATGTCTTCTTAATAATGGGAGACCTTAGGACGTTAGACTGCCGTCTTGTTTGTTCACAGCTGAGTTATTATCAGTTGAAGCGTAACCGTCATGAACCGTGTGAAAATGTTCGACTTAGGTTTTTCTGCGTATAGATACCTTCAGTGACTTTTTATTGGACCCCTTTTCATTTAGAAATTGGTCCAATCCCGTTTTTCTTTCAATAAAAATCCCATTTAGTTCAGTACGCCAATGTTTAATCTTGGACAATATTTAAGTTCAACAGAAATTTCCTCCCTTTGTTCTTATTCTCCTAAGTCAAGTGTGATTTCTGATCCGACTTAAGTTCCTAAGAGCGCAGGGCACATTCGGTCTCACGCTAGCGGTTGAATGGCTTGAGTGTTATCTTTCAGCACCGAATACATTGTGATGGCTGGCGCAGCAGATTAGCCGAGAGGAGTGCGAGGACGTTGCTTGAAAGGTGGGATGAATATTGCAATATCATCCTCACCCACCTATCATTATGTCTACCAGTCATTTTGTAAAGCACTTTGTTCAAGGTTGTGAGGAGTGGTACTCGAGCCAAGACAAAGAATCGTCTTCCCGCCCTCTCTGAATACAAACATTCAGTCCTACGCGATGTCCTCCATTCGCGCACGGGGATTCTCGGAAAGCAAAACAACCACTCATGACTTTTATACAACTAACTGGATTGTCTACCATCTTTGACTAATTTAGCTAGATTGACCTCGTCAACTCTACTCTATGCCGGTTTGAAGCAAATAGGATCGCTATTAATCACCCCACAATTGCTGAAATGGACGTTGCAATCAAATTTCGGTCAGCGAATTCGGTTAGGTTCTCATGAAAGTGGACGCCATAGCGAGCACCACACAGCTAAGCCTGGAACAGACATTTTGGACGAAATAATCGTTTTGTCGCCAATTCCGTAGTACATCAAGCAACCTGGTTTTTTGACATTGTTTGTTATTGTCAGATAGTCAAACCACAACAGTCGTTGACATGAACAGAATATGGTCATCTAAGATGATAAAACAGCACTAAATAGTAAGACAACTATAGAGCTCAAGAACTTGGAGGTTCGGATGTTACAGGCAACGTGTAACAACGTTTCTATGTATGTACAAGGAGAAAACAGTTGGGGTCGAAAAAGAGACAACTTCCATTTGCATCATTATCAGCAATGGCAGCAGAAATCATTATGAGGGGTGATGAGATTGCTCTCGGAGGTAGTAGAGACTCAGACTATTCAATCCACTCCAGTAATTTCGACTAATTTCATCGATAGTCATACTTGGCTGTAAAGGAACATACTCGCTCGAAGCCTCGTTATAGTAAAAGAGGCTGAAATACGGGTCATTTTCTGCAAAAGAAAAGGAGTTGCCAAGCCGCAATTCGATATGATGGTAATGAATGCCCCAATTGGAGGGCAAAGGAAGAAAAACCCATCGTCCTTTGATCTGGTGACAGTACGGCAATGCAGATGATTATTTCCACCAAATCATAGAAAGGGAAAGGAGAGAGAAAAGCGATAAAAGGTGGTGTAAAACGAGATGCACTCACCCATGACATCTTTGTGCACCCGTTGTAGATTAAAACGAATCGACAAAAATCTTCCCAAGTGGTCGACTAAAACAACGCAGATTTCGAAACACAGCGTCCGATCATGTCCATATGGAAACTAGTCAGTGTAACCAACCTGTAGCATTCGATGGTACCTTGATGTACTTGACAGCAGGAGCCAGCAGCGATTCCTCCGATACCAGTTCGGAGTTAGTACCATGAGGGCTAGAGGCAGTGGCACGGTGCCCTCCATCTTCTGATTTAACCTGGCTGCCATGACACTCCACTACGGTGCTATCAAGAGAGACAGCAGAAGAGGTAAGAGTCATGCCTCTCCGATGCTCTGGTGGCAAGGGACGGAGCATCAACTCGACTTCGGGGATCACGGTGGTGGTTGAAGCAGGAGTAGCGTTGTTACTAAAAGTGCGCACTCGTTGATTATGTAATTGTTGGTGTGGGTGCCCGAAATCAACTGAGCTGGCCCCACCCACTGATGTAGTCTCCATTGTTCCGCTTTCTGCGTCTGAATTGACCCGCGATGCTCGTTGGTTCAGACTGCCCGTCTAAAGACACGGAAAGCTTAGCAAATTAACAGATCTTCAATGTTCGTAAAAAGACCCAACAAAACTTAAAAGCGTCTAATCGAAATGTATTAAAAAGGCCGTAAAAAGCCAACCAAAGAAAGAAAAATAAACTCACTATTGAGGCAGCATCGTCCTCACTGATAACGGAATCAGTAGTTGCAAAACCATTGTTGCCTGCAGACCGCCGGTTTCGATATCGTGCGGAATCGATATCATTAGAACCGTGAATAAGCGACTGGCCGCTTTCTTGCAAAGACGCCCGGTTGTTAAACTGCTGCTTATTCAACTTGGCAAGAACTCTATTCTGATGAGCCTCGTACTCCTAGGATTCATGTGCACATTTACTAGCGAAAGAAAACTCACCTCTCGATCTGGGTATATTTTTGCAATAAGCGCATCAAAATTGGGATCACGACGAAGAGAACGTTTTGAAACTAGCTTTTTGCGGCATGTTGGGCATTCTTTATTTCCATTTCTCAAGGCTGTGACAATGCAATCCGAACAAAATCGATGGAGACACTCCTTAGTTGTCATGGTTACTTTAAGGATGTCAAGACAAATAGGACACATCAGTTCTGATTGAAGACTGCGAGGACTAACAGCTATTTTAGTACCATCAGTGATCGGCTCCTGCGGTTTGCGTTGCAATTCATACAAAGTAAGTTCCCAATTTTTCATGGGAGCGTTCTCCATGGCCATACCAGAACCTTAAAAGGTATGGCTACAAATAACATAGAAAATAAATAACAAAGGCACAAATCCTAAAAAGCCAAAATATAAGCGATGCAAGACGGACGCACCGTTGTGGGATAGCACACGATTAAAACATCATATACAAAAAGGAAGGCATTCAAAAAAGGATGCAAGGAGCATGTGCGAAACACAACCAGAACGAGAAATAATTGTGCAATACAAAAAAGGAATGCATAGATAAATCCTAAGCTATGCAGTCGGTGATGCTTATTAACACCCCAATGGCGAGGCAGTTAGAAGAACATAATGTGTATCAGTGCAAACATTGGAGAAGCCGTAGCTCTGTACAAACGCGACTAACACACAACTATCTAAGCTAGCACTAAATTGTCTGATGGTGCTATAATGAAACAAAAATTTACTCATTTCAAATAGTTTCAATATATGACTTTGCCGATAACAAAACGCATTAGGTATCACTTAACACTTGTATGCAGGCGCAAAGGGCGTATAAAAGGCTGTGGCCTTGCCCAAAATCCAGTCCGCTCAGCTAGTGCGAGATAGCAACCAAAACGGTCACTCTCTTTAAAACAGTCAAATAAAAAAGTGTTGTATTATTACTCCTTTACGGTCGAGCTGTTTGTAGAGGTCACCTTGAATCATTTTCGAGCCACTTGTAACGTCCTGAAACTTTGGCAGGTATTTTAAGTAGGAAAAAAATTGATCTTTGGCCGGGCGGACTGTCAGTTCATGCATAATGGCAGGGTTATATCCGCCATAAAAGCATGCTCGATTCGGCAATATACTAAATGCCAATCCGCTGTGACATCGTCGAGTTTTATCTAAATGAAGAAAGTCTCCCACATTTTTGCAGCTCTTTTTGGATCATATGCTGCATCTGGTTTTTAAAAAAGGACTTAAAAGCCGTTATTTTTTATTATTTACAATTATGTTGATAAACAGGCGGTATAATTCCAAGCTAAAATAATCATGGCTGACAATACGGGATAAAATGAAGATCCGAACAGGAGTGACGCACTCATGGTAGCACCGTCGAATTTTCTGTAAGGGATTCGATATTGGAAACTTTAAAAAATGGTGTCTTCCCTCTGGTCCTTGGTCCTCAGATTTCAAGAGGTTGTTGGTTACAGAGGCTTTATGAGGCATAGCTATTAGAAAGGATAGAAATGTGATACAGATGAGCAGAGTTGGGGATATCGATCAGAGAGGGGACTCCTTGCCGAGTTCCTGCATGTGATTGGTCCCCGCCTCTCGCCTGCTAAAGTCCACTTAAACAAACTAGTATGCATTACAGCCACTAATAATAGCATTATCGTGTAAAAACATAGAATGTTTTAGCGACATGAGATTCGCCATAGGATGGAAGAAGGCAATAATTGAGGCCTGAGCATGATCCGAAGACCACCTCACGAGTACAGGTGCCAGCTAAATCCTAAAGTGACCACTGAACGTCAGGTAGTCACATAAACAAGCAGTACACGGAAAAACACATTGTCGGCGCTCCTCTTGGTACACCTTCCGCGCCAGTCGACAGGCAACATGAGACTGGAGATCTGTGCTTGGTTTCCTCGGCAGCTCCAACTGAATCTGGAGTTGCGTTCGGTCTGACAACCAGATTAGGGGCGGCATACACCTGTTGATCATCAATTGCTATCAGGAATAGACAGTAAAACTCTAGTCTTAAACAGATGTGTTGAAGAGGAAGCTGGATGAGCCACTTTCTCGTAGGTAAGAACAAACGTGGTGTCATTTCCGACACCTAAATAGATATTTTGTATGGAAAATTCCGACACGAAACTTTTCCAGATGGTTCATGGCGGTGTCGCTTCAGCTCTTAATAGCATGTCTGTGGAACGCGGAAAGAATGCGAAACTAAATGCAGACGTCAGTCTAAAGCCTTTCGTTGTGAATGATTCAGGAATTCTCTGTCACCGAGGTAAATGCGCCTTCTGGACGCCGTGAGTACATGCATCAAAAGGTATGTGCTAGGATAGGGGTCGTCGAAGGTGTGTCGGTTTCGTTTTTCGCTGCCACCAGTGTAGCGTTCCGAGACTACTCAGAGGGTGGAAGAAGGCAATTAGTGAGGTTGTATACATGTATTTCAAAGGGAACAAAGCAAATGTGCCTGGGCATGGTCCGAAGACCAGCTAACGAGTATAAGTGCCAGACATATCCTAAAGTGATCGCGAAACACCAAGTTGTCACATAAACAAAGCCGTACAACCACAACCAATTTGCATCGTTTAAGGGATGCTGAAAAATATTCATGAAGCTGATACTTTCTGGTCACGCTGCAGAATTTTGCGACATAAAGCAAAATCGCATTGAATTCGTAACATAGTCAGGAGTGCTTGTTTCTGCTACTGAGAGCTGGTACCATGATTTCATGTCTGTTAGTAGAGTGCTTTCAGGCAGAAATAGTGGAAGCGACCCAACCGTTAGCCTAGGATGAAATACTTTGTTTGTGTGGCTACCTGACATTTAACCGTCACTTTAGGATTTGTCTGACCCTTGTAAACGTGGGCAGGCCTTCGGGCCGTGTTCAGGCCCATTTGCCCTGCCGTCTTCGGAATACCTGTGTCCAACCGCACTTACTGACTTCTTATACCTGCCAGGAGGTCACAAGAGGATACAAGGATACGTGATCAATAAATGCGATAAATGCACTGTAGACGTCGTGGTACCTTTGGTTAGGCACTTCCTCATGTGGTCTAGCAAAATATTCTTAGTGTTTAGAAGCATTTTGGCCCGCCAGAATAAGTTTCGCCAAAATAGCCAATCAAGTGTCAGCTTAAATATGCGCTACTTAGCCACCAATTTTTTTAATCGTAAAGTTCTGATTGGGCTTCAATATCATGCATTAAATTTTTGCATTTTAGGAATCTTCCATGTTCTGAATCGTTGTTCTAGTGCGTTTATCAGTAATGTTTTCTTGTTGTTTTCTTGAACCTTGTTGTGTGACTGCATCGCAGCCATATGTTGTTGCAGCTAGTTAGTCACTAGTGTTTCTTCTGGGATCTTTATGTGATCCTTCTTTCAATTTTATCGCTTTTGGCTTGCTATCGCTAGCACTTCTTTGTCAAATGCGTTTTAGGCTTTCAATTTTTTGACTCATGTTGAGCTTAATGCTGTGCTGGTAATTTCTGACTGTTTCTTCATTCATTTCGGTACTTGGACTTGACCGGCTATTGTCATGCATGATTAGCAAGCCACCGCAAATCCGTGGGATAAGTTCAGAATTAGGCTTTTTTGCTTTGAAACGTATAAATCTTCTTATTGTTAGGCACTATGTTGTTATTTTTGTCTTACGTCTAAAAACCATGTGTTGTAGGATGGCGCTTATAAAGGCAAAACAAAGTCATTCGGGTATTGTTAAACTCGCACTTTTGGGTCTCTTCTCTGCCATATCTGGCATCTTCATTTTCTCATGTGGTTTCCTTCTTATTCGCTCTGAATTGACCAATACTACTAGTGTATCCCAGCATCTCCAACCGGAATTTAATCGGGTGATTCTACTTCTTGTGGATGGCCTTTATACTGGTCTTCTCCCTTCCATTGACAACACGACCAGAATGCCCTTTTTGCGGAGTATCGTTTATCAACATACTCATTCGAAAAATCATTTTCTTGCTCACTTCATAGCCGATCCCCCAACTACTACCATGCAACGGCTTAAAGCTCTTCTCACCGGTAGTATGCCCACGTTTATGGATGCAGGAAGCAATTTCGGTGGTAGTGAACTTAGAGAAGACAACATACTGAAACAGTGGGCACTGAACGGCAAGAAGATATGCTTTGTTGGTGATCAAGTTTGGGTGGAATTAGTACCGAATTGGTAAATGCTATGACTTTTTCTTCAAATGCTTCTATATCTGGCCCTTGTGTACTAATTTCCTTTGTGGGAGTGGAATCCTAAGTCCTAGTTATTTTTATCCAAATAGTTAAGTTTTTCGTCTCTTTTCTTTCATTATTGGCGTTGATCCAAAGGCATATTTCTTTTTTCTTATTGCTAGATTCGTTAAGAGTTACGAGAGTCGCTCGTTGTTGCCATGTGTTAGTGAGTGTAGTTTAATGGCATTAGCCTATAAATTTATCTTGATGGGTTTAATAAACTTGTGATGTTTTTTTGGGGCCAAAATGAATTTCAGGGTTTGTATGGAGCGCCATTCATCTTCTGTATCCTGAGTTGTCTGAAACGTCAGTGTGACTGTATAAATCTACCGTTAGTATGTTCTGTAGGTTTCTGGAAAGCCATCCCCTTCCTGCCTTTAACATAAAGGACTTGGACACAGTGGATAATGCTGTTAAGGAGTACTTTCTCCGAGAAATCGGTCGTGACAAATGCGATGTTCTAATCGGCCACATGCTTGGCATTGATCACTGTGGACACACTTTTGGACGTTCACATCCGGAAATGGATCGCAAGCTTGCTGAATTGGATGATTTTTTGGGGTAAGTGTTCGTCTCATATTGCAGGACTTAGAAACAGATAAGCAGCAAGTGTTCCATTACAGACCAACTTCTCGCGGCATATGATTTTGCCCTATTTTTGGCCAAGCCGGGTTCTTATTATTATCGTGTCACTGCTATGAACCTTTCTGTAGATATATACGGACATCTGAAATCTCGTAGACTTTGGGTGGCTATACGATTAGCCGTTATTAATGGTCGATCAGTACATAATTTGACCTTACATTGGGGCCATGTTCCATTATCTCCCATTGTTGTGGGTTTGTACAAGAAATGTAAGCTATGTTGGGGTACTGGTGGATACGAGGTACCACTGCACTCCTGTAGTCTATTGTAAATTGTCAACTTTCAGTTTCCTGATACGGAAGCGTTAACTTTTATTCACGCCTTTCCTATCCTATCTGCCTCATCTTTGGATAATATGTAGGTTTAACCAAGGTGGTTGTTTTACTTATATCTGACGCGTTTCATGCATATGGGGCTAGTGGTGTGAGCCATCATTCTTTCAGACATTTGCTACCACTTTTGCGGCCGTCAGACCTGCTAATTGCTTTTGGTGACCACGGCATGACGGCTACAGGTGATCATGGCGGTGACAGCGCTGCCGAGGTCGATGCAGCTCTCTTTGCCTACACCCCGAGCGGTTTTCTACGTGCTTCCACCTCCACAACTGCCTCCGCAGGCGAAATCACTCCTCTTCATGAGGTAGAACAGGTTAATCTAGTGCCCACTCTGGCAGCACTCACCGGCACCCCAATTCCTTTCTCAAATCTCGGCATTGTCATCACACAGCTATTTAACTTTGCCATCGTTGGGCCGGTGAATGAGAACTTTAGGCAGGTTGGTAAAATGCTATACCACCATAATAATATTGACTATAATCGCTTGATATTACGTTGAATTAAGTATACCTGCGGTGCTTGAGTGTTGAGTGGTGCATCAGTGTAGCTGAATTCGACAGCACTCGAGAGGCAAAGTAGTAAGAACGAAAAAAAAAAAGACTTGAATGCTAGGAAACTTATTATTGTGGTCTATACAAGTGCACCCTATCTTTATCTCTCTTCATTGCAGATGTTCACATACGCAAAAGAGTACCACAACCGATTTGGTCTTGTGACCGTTCCTGTGGAGATGGAACGACTGATCGTCCGAAACTCTACTCAGCCATGTACATTTCTCTCCCTTGATGAATGTCTGACTGCGATGCGCACCTTGCGCGCCACCTTTCGCACTCACTGGACTCGTATGGACGCTTGGCATATTGCTCTTGGCTTCTTCCTCACTCTCCATGCCCTCCTGGCTTTTCTAGCCCTTGATAATGACCTCGGTGATCCTGGACTGCCCTGCATCTTTGCTGCCCTGGGTGCTGTTGCTCTTGGCCTCTTTAAGCTATCTCTGTCCGCTTTTCTACTACTGACAATGGCTTCCTACTGGCTGGGGGCTTTGTGGTTCAGACGGCATCGTCACTCAATAAGTTTAGGAACTCTGGTCTCTGGACTGATGATGGTTGTTGTTATCCTCACTTCCTGTTCCAACAGTTTTGTTATTCAAGAAGCCAAAGTATTGAGCTACTTTCTGCAAACGGTACTTGTGATCACTTACATTTCCCTTGTAAGTGGAATGGAATTATGTTTTTTTTCTTTTTTCCTCAGAATTTAATGAGTGAATAAGGGATTATTCGATTCTAAAAATTTTGTAATTTTGGAGCTCGAAGTGTCATATTCCGAATATATACTGTCTTGGCTAATTAAATAAAGCCATTTTTAAGGTGAAGACTACCTTGATGCCTTTTTTCTTTTAGTTGCGTGCTGCCAGACATGTGCCAATGGCTAATACTAGTATTCTCTTGTGCGTTGGTCTCCTCTGGGCAGGTCGATACCTAGAGGTGTGTCGGGAGGAGTCTCCATCCACCTCCGTGTGTGTACCTCTGGGCACCGATGGTGCCGAGGGCAATGATCCAATTGTCGCTTGGCTGCTTACATCCCTCTCGAAACTGTCAGGTGAGCGACTGCGACGCCTAACGGGCCCTCGCCTTCTGATTGCTAGCACCGGTCTCGGTGCTGCTCTCCTCGTTCACCGCCGCTACCTGAACTCATGGGGAAATCTTCATGTTGGTGGGCTTACCGGTACTCTTCTCTCGCTTTTCGCGCCTCTTTCTGCCCTTGGACTGCTCTTCCTCTGGGTCCTCGATGCTTTAATCGCCTCAACACATAGCGGCAACTACACTGCTGCACGTTTTGTTGCCTTGACACCAACATTCCTGTACGTTTTACCAAACTGAATAACCAAGTTACTACTCATTACCGAATCCTTACACCAAGAATTTAGCATCAGTGAAGTATTTGATTTTAAACAACACTCAATGTGGTTATGGAAACGGTTTCAGTGTATATATTTAGTAGATCATGGAGAAGTGGTATTATCATCGTAATTATTGCCACCCTCAGCACCACCTTGAGGATTACCGTCGCTCGGGGTCTGTTTCTGTTTGGTGGGGCTCTTCTCCTCATTCTCATCTATCGTCCTCTCCTCGTGACTGTGGCGGTATCGGCAGCAACGTCGTCCAGGGCACAGCAATGGGGAGGAGATGGCGTCTATTCCTCCGGTCTAGCCACCGTTTACACCTCATGGCTTCTCACTGGTTTGGTACTGCCATCGCTCTTCATTCTGCTCGTCCTCCTCGGCGACATTTACGTATGGCCCTGTCTGGGTATCCTTGTTTGCCTTCTCCTTCCGCCTTTCTATCTCCTGCATTGCTCTCGAATCCCTTTATCTTCCCAAAAAACGACGGAGGGTGAGCTAGAGACCATTGCGTTTTGCGGTACAGTTCTTTTATCTGTTGCATTCCTCTGCCGGTGGCACGAAAGCCTCTTCCTACACACATTCGCAATTTAAAGACCTTTTTTTTTTCATGCTTTACTTATGGAAGGGAAAAGGGAGCCTCAACTTCTACTATTGGTCTTAAAGTAGCCTTATTAATTCTAGCTCAAGTGGTGTCACAACTCCATGCAGCATCGGGTTGGATCACGGCCACCTACGCCTGCCTACTGGGCGAATTCGGTTTCTACTGCCTAGGCCATCAGCCCACATTCTCATCAATCGCCTGGGAAGCGGCATTCGCGGTGCTGGAGGGAGATCATGTGGTCACTGCTACCTCTACCTTCCTGTCGGCTACTCTTGTACTAGCTCACACCTTTGCTGCCCATATCCTTGTCACCGCAGCGTTACCTCTCCTCCTCCTAGCCCCTCTCCATCGTTTATCAAATGGCCCCGTAGGACAATCTAAACTTCTGCTTCTGCTCACCAAGTCTGAGACATGCTCACGAGCTTTGGGAGTGGCTTTTGATAGACTGTTTCGACGATATCTCATCGTTCATTTCAGTTTGGTATGTAAATTACAGCCATTAGGCCTTGTATATGTTGGTATTAATATAATTATTCACTTTAAACCTTCAAGTAGTTAATTATCATCATTATGTGGCTGAAATATATGAGCGACCACGGACATGGCGAGTCTGTCGATTGACTAGTAAGAGAGAATGGTAAAGATCGAATGTGTGAACCATTTTGTCATCGTTGCCACCTCTAGCCACAGCGAATGATTGATTGTCACTTGTACCTAAGCAATCTAATCTCATTCCTCTAAATACCTCGATTCTAAAACTTAAACAGTGGTCGATCACTTTCCTGTCATTTGCTACGGGGCGATGCTAATCATCAAGTAATGTGAATTTAGTGGTGAATCACGGGGCAATTGGCTCTCCACTTGTGTCTAACTTGCCTAAAGACGAAAGAGGGGATTGACATCTACAAAAAAGCCAACGAAAATGGGTTTACTAAGTAATTATGACGATGAAATTTGGGATCTGGCTTGCTTATAACTCACTCCTCCCTCTTCACTTATGTAGTTCACAGGTCACCTGCTGTGTGCCTTTCTTCTGCGTCGTCACCTGATGGTGTGGAAGATCTTCACTCCCCGTCTTGTTTTCTCTTTTTGTGGGCTTGGCGTTATTCTCCTTACAACACTTGTAGTGCGTTACCTTGTTGTTTGCTGTCTCCATGCTGCTGTCATTGGAATACTTCGTCAAAGACTAAACAAGTTGAATTCTTAACACCTTGTCGTTTCCTCTGTCTTTCTAACCTTCTTTCAAGTTTATTTTTACTTTCTGTTTATTGCAATTAAGTCCTTTCTACTTCTTTATTTTCAACATCACAAAATTTATTTAATAGTGTGTGTCTGGTAATAAAGGAGCGATGAGAGAGAGAGTTTCCGCATTCTTCATTTATTCGCAGTCCCAAGATTGGTTACTGTTTAACGGGAAAGATGCCACAGTTCCACTTCCACCCATTTGAGCTAGATTGACACAGCTTGGAGATGAGGCTTGTCACCCGACCTCCCCTCCATTTTTTCCACACACACATAAGGTGGGAGAAGTCTTCTGGAAATGCGGTTGTGTTAAACGTCACATCAAGGTGTATAATCCAGTGGCCATTACAAGTCACTCAGTGGAAGTCAATTTTTTCCATAGTGTTGAAATGGAGACATTGTTTAGGTCTTTGCTACCTGGCAGTTGTCAATACTCAAGGGTTGAGCCGCTTGATTTGTAGTGGGACCACTAGCCATCCATCCACTTGCTAAAGTCTCATTGTTATGATAGTAAGTCAATGACCTTGGATTTTCAGTGGCTATTAGCTGGTAGAAGCCATTTAGGTTAACCTAAACTTCTAGAATATTGGAAGTAAGTGTTTATTAGAACGCTTGAAAGAGAGGTTCGGGAATTCACATTAATAGTTGTTAGCCAATAGGATGCGTCCCCTCATTGACCTTGACAAGTGTCCAGCCTGGATGAGAGTTATTGGTCGGTCTTCACTTCGAGGCATCAGCACGAGCGCCTACCGTCAGAGCCGTAATTTAAGGACTTCCATGCTATCCTTATTGTGACCATACGTCAACGATCTTGAATCTTTTAAGGGCTAGTTCTGGTTCATAGATTAAAATCGAGTGTTTCTAAGAGCGGAAAATGGGAGGGGGGGAGGGGGAGGGGGGGCTATAGACATTAACGTTGAAAGCTGCTAGTAGAGAAAATGCATTCCCTCTGCTAGCACTGACAAATGGCCAAGTAGGTAGACAGTCTCACGGCGTGGTCATTGTAAGATTGTGGTCGGTATTGTTTAACAGCCTTCTTCTACATCCTCCTTCTTTCATGCGCGACTCAGGCGCATCGCTCTCATCCGTCGTTTGCAAATCTCCTTTGCTCTCTTGATGTGCTGCTTTTTTATTGCTGCTAAATTCAAAGGCATTGGGAGATTCTTCTTTCGTCTTCAAGTGGCGCCGAGGCAGGCGGTGGAGTCAAGTCTGAACCAAATGTACATTTAAGGAGCTCAAACGTGTCTCTTTGCTTTTAGTACCCTTTTTTCCCCCCTCGAAGACGCATTATTTGTCTCCTTTTTGGTTAGCAATCTCAACTAGCTCTCTCTTGATAGGCAAGAATTAAGACTTCTTCTGCAGCAATTAGAGTAGGCCGAGGTTTAACAATCGGATGCATGATTTTAGCAAATGGAAAGCAGGCTTGACTCACACCAATCTCCTCGAATTTACATTTTGTTCCTAAAATTCGAGCCTATCAACTTGTGTGTGTGTGTGTGTGTGTGTGTGTGAGAATACAAGTTTGAATGAATGCGTTAATTGCTCCAGGGTGACGGCAATTAGGGTAGTTTATTCCCTTCCTCCTCCCTCTACCAGGTCCCCTTTCATTCCTCTCTCTCACTCCCCCTTCACCATCCGGTCTCCTTCCAGTTTCCCTTCTTTGTTCGAATCGATGGTTCGAGGATAATTACTGACATAATTGGGCAATTGTATTGGTCGGTAAAATCACAATTCCTGGCACCATAAGACGTGGACGACCATTCTCCTCTTTCTGGTCACAGGTACGTTGTCTTTTTGCCTCCTGCTACTCCTCATCTTCTTGTTTACGCCTTTTTCTCTGTCTCACGAAAGTTGTCTGCCCAACAACATTGTCAGAGGTGTAGTAAGCTAAGGGCATGAGGATTAAAAAAAAAAGAAAGAGAGAGAGAGAGAAAGGTCTCCATCAGTCAACATCATCCGGTCATTAGGTGCTCCGGAAATGTGATTTCATGCTGAGGCCTTCAAACCGGATGTAGGTGTCCACACACACACACACACACACAGACACACATGCCTTCCCTTCTCCAATGGCACTTGACCTTCTTGACAATTTGACATTACGTCTGTGGCATCTATAACAGTCGAGCTGACCCAATCTCATCCCCCCTACCAGTCGCCCTTCTCCCTCCCTCCCCCTCCTCCTCCCCTCCCTCCCTCCACCCCACTAGACGGACATACAAATGTGTCATGTGTAGGGAAAATCAAGCAACTTTATTAGTACTAATGTAATAAATACGTTTACGATTGTCTAAATCAGTGCTATCCACTCCTCCAACTCTCAGTGGCACCAAAAAAGGATACCTGTTTTTGTTGTTGTTGTTTTTATTGAACCCAACACATGTACATTCTCACGTGTACACAAACAATAAGGAACATTCAAGTCTCCTTCATGCTGAGGCACCGTTTCGACTGTACTTTTTTTTGTTGTTGTTTTGATTATGTCTCCTCGTTTTTCTCACCTCCTTCGTTGTGGTTTGATCATGTTCTCGTCCAGAGTTGCGTGTGCAGTAATGAGACGATCGGTGAGGCAGCGTGGTAGAGAGTTTTTGCATCGAATCACCTCTCTATACCCGGGTCCAAAAATTCTCAACTTATGAACCATCAAAGTTCTCTGTTCAATTGGATCATCATAGAGCTTTATTTTGCAATTTTGTTGAGTCTGTAGACCCTTTAATCGACGCTCACTGGTCTTCTTCACATTGGTATATTCATCCGGTCCAGTGCCCTTCATTCTTAGATAGGCTGTAAATATTATATCACCTGTGTTTGTCTCGACGAAACCTAATTTGGGACTCGGTTTTGGTGTCACCCACCTGTTGACAGTGTCTTCCGACCCACGAGGCGGTGGACTTAGTCGATGTGAGGATGAAGGATCGTTTCTTGTCTCTATCTCATCGCCATGCCGTCCGGGTAGTTGATCAGGCAGATCACCAGAAGACTGTTCATTTGATATGTTAACATTGAAGGCTTCATTGAAATCACAGGCTAAGGCAACCTGTTGCATGGTCTTGGTTTCTACACCCGTCTTCTTTAACTTCACCAAGTCTACAAAGAGGACGGGAGTGCAACAAGAAGGTGGACTGGAGGATGAGGATGTTTGTGAAATGCATGAATGACCATCCGAGGATTGTGACCCATTATTATGCTTTTTGGTTTTTTTTAAAGTATTTTTTGAGATTTTGTGTCGATTTTTGAGTTTCTTTAAAATTGCCTCTGTACTGCCATCGCCTACGGAGATTGATGAGGAGGTGTCAGTCTCATTGCTAATGATGGAGGTGAGCTTCACATCTTTCTCACTGCACAAATGTTCAGCCACCTTGTTTTGGGAGGACTTTGACGGGTTGGGCTTGTGGTAATCCTCGGCGTCCGTTTCATCTCCACACATTTTGTAATTCAACTTGGTAGCAGTGTAATTGGAGTCATAACAACACACATCACCGCCCAAATTTTGGTCACTTGATTCGGATTTGTTGCCTCCATTATCTGAATGTGTTCTGTGACAGTTGAATGTGTCAGCATTGTAGAGAGAGGAGGCCATAGTTTGACATGTGGTGTTGGTGAATTGAGGAAAAGATGGGGCAATAGTATGGCCATAGGCACTGCAACGACCTCTGGATTCACTGGAAGGCATATGACTCTCTTTGCCTCCCATCAAAGTGAACAAGGTAGGATGACGGCGACAAAATGATCTCCTCTTTGCGATGGTGTGGGAGGCTTGCGTTAGTAGGACATTTTTGACCCACTGCTGCTCATTGATTGGTCTGTGTCAATCACATGACCTTTCAGGTCGACTTGGCATTTGGAATATGGAGAGTGTATCACGTGGAGCTTCAGGTCAGGCAGTGCGTAAGTAGTGGTTCTGAAGCTCAAATTCGTGTTGGATTAAGAACGGTTTGAGGATGATGGGAGTTAAAAACACGTACACCCCCATATATCGTTCCAAAGCACTATCATTTCAGATGCCTTGTTTGTTTGGTTAGCAGCATCAGGATGTGATTTTACTTCCACAAGCATTGTTACTATTTTTGTTTATTACAAGAAGCCCTCCTGAATGTTGGAACTGCAAGGAGAAAGGAATTGTACTTGGAGGAATAAAAAGAAGGCAAATTGCAGCACCACCACAGCCACGTCAACTTCATGTGACACTGTTCCAATTAATCATCACAATCAAGTGCAGCAACATCAACACAGGCATCAGCAGCAATGCCAACAGAAAGGTTCCCTTCAGTTATGGCGATTCTTGGTAACTATGCTGGATGATCCAGCTAGCCAGCACCTTATTTGTTGGGCTGGACGCAAACTTGAGTTCAAGCTGAATGAGCCAGAAGAGGTTGCCAGACTGTGGGGCATTCAGAAGAATCGACCTACCATGAATTATGACAAACTGAGTCGATCATTGCGCTACTATTACGAGAAGGGCATAATTAGTAAGGTGTCGGGTGAACGCTACGTGTACCGTTTTGCTTATGAACCAGAAGTGCTGGCCAAACTCACTTTGGAAGAGACGCTATCAACTGTACTTCCTCCGAAACATGATAAAAAGGGACCATCAACAAACCAGTCTGTTGAAGATGTAGTATTTCCTCCTCCGCCGCCTTCACCAAACTCATTTCTATCACCTCCCAACCCACCTGTTCTACAACAGACACTAATACCAACACCACCCCCACCACCGTTACCGTCACAACAACTTCAGACTCCAGTTCAGGGAGGGATTTACCAACCGCATTGGCAGGAGCACTTTGTCTACTCCAACACCAGCGATTACGACTGGAGCGACGATTATGCTGCGACTGACTCTTTCAGCTACCAAACCACCATTACAAACACCAATCCTAATATCACCAATCATCAGTACGACTACGCCTACACCTATGAACAAGCCAGTCAGGTTTACCGCACCGATCCAGACGCTGACAGCTACGTCCTTTTTGAATGTCCTGACTATTATCAATAACATAGGCAGAGAATTGCCAAAATGACAGGGTTGAAAGATTTTATGTATGAGGTGAAGTAGCAGGATTAGATATTATTACATCATCATCAAGTAAGTAGGCATGCAAGCAAAAATGAAATAAACATGAATTAGAAAGAAAGTGGGTGGCAATTAAGAATTATAATAGTCCTTGACGCGGACATCATTGAACGCTTTGATCGCCTATGGAAAGTGCACGAGTGTGGTTGAAGCATGTGCGAGTGGTGGTAGGATGGGGTGGAGAGGGAAAGCAAAGGTAGAAAAAAGGGAAAGAGGAGGAGGAGGAGAAGAAGAAGAAGGAGGAAGAGATGAAACGGGCTAAGGCGTTGCTCCATTCTCCGACAATGCGGATGTTGGCGGTGATCGAAATGTGAATGGGGAGAGCTGGAAGGTGTGGAAGTAGAAAGAAGTAGAGCAGTGGGTGTGCAAGTGAGAGTGGTCAATGAGGCGTAGGCGGCTGCGTGGTAGTGGCTAGGGAAGCAGTGAGCACTGATGTTCGATGGTAATGTGGCTTGCGTGAAGTGGGCT